AGTAGAGACGGGGTTTCACCATGTTGACCAGGATGGTCTCGATCTCTTGACCTCGTGATCCACCCGCCTCGGCCTCCCAAAGTGCTGGGATTACAGGCTTGAGCCACCGCGCCCAGCCTTGCTTATCTCCTTTTATGAGGGCCCTTTGGGTAAAGAGGAAATAGCTACCTCAGTTGCTTGTTTTGTTGTTTTTTTTTTAATTTTTTTATTGCATTTTAGGTTTTGGGGTACATGTGAAGAACATGCAAGATTGTTGCATAGGTACACATGTGGCAGTGTGATTTGCCTCCTTCCTCCCCATCACCTATATCTGGCATTTCTCCCCTTGCTATCTCTCCCCAACTCCCCAGCCCCCCACTGACCCTCCCCTATTTCCCCCCAACAGACCCCAGTGTGTAGTGCTCCCCTCCCTTCTTTAAATAGCTCTGTATTTCTTCTTGGCCTAATGATGATGATGGCTATTACTAACCAACCTGTTTCTGAGCTTGAATGTGAATTTTCTTTTTTTATTTTTGAGATGGAGCCTCCCTCTGTCACTCAGGCTGGAGTGCAGTGGTGTGATCTCAGCTCACTGAAACCTCCGCTTCCCAGGTTCAAATCATTCTCCTGCCTCAGCCTCCTGAGTAGTGCCCACCATCATGCCAGGCTAATTTTTGTATTTTTAGTAGAGATGGAGTTTCACCATGTCAGCCAGTCTGGTCTCCAGCTCCTGACCTCACTGCCCGCCTTGGCCTCCCAAAGTGCTGGGATTACAGGCATCAGCCGCCATTCCAGGCCTTGAATGTGAATCTCATACGTGAATCAGCAGAAGCGCTAAGAAATTCAGTTATGACACTATTGAGATCTGAAGGTTAAAATACTAAGGGATCTAGAATATTCTTATTCCTTATCTGTAACATGAGTATTGCAGTTTGTTGTTTTGTCTTTTGGCTGTCCATTAAAAATGGTTGAGACTCCCTAAAGTATAAATTTCTAATACCAAATCCAGGCTTAGACTAAAAGGATGTGATCAATTGATAGTTTACCTTTTTCTGTGACTTGGAAATTGTATAATGAAATTCATATACTCCCACTACTCAAGAAACTAATCGCATAGGGATTCTGAATCACAAACGAACTTTGCTAATTTATCTAAAAGTACTATGATTTGGTTTTCATACTTTCATTTAGAAGTTCAGAGACAATGCAATGAATTAAATTCTACTGACTGGAAAGCAATTATTTTATAAAAGAGCAGTATTTTTCCAAACTATATTACTCATATAAAATTATATATATATATATATATATATATATATACTCCCATTATTCATTACTATATTTGAACCATGCCATTTCTCTCA